ATTGATAAGCATTGCTATAAAACGTTTTGATATTCTAACAATCATTTTGACTTTTACACAAAATTATTTTGATTATTGAACAAAAATTATTTTCAGATCTGGATTCAGCAAAAGTGTTCTTTCCGTGCAGCGATGTAATTTAAGTGTAATATTTAGAATTCCAGCTGGAACAGCGAAACATTTTTCTGAGTGTATCGTGTGTCTATATCATATGTTGCAATCTTCTCTTTTAATAGCGGCAACCAATGTCAGTAAAATCGACGTTTTTGATCTTCTTCATGTCATCTCTCGCAAAAGTATATCTGTGTGCATGGCCAGCCGACCATTTGTTAAGTGCAGTAAGTTACATTTATATACAGTGACCGCCAAAAGTTTGGGGCCACCTAAATAATTTCCGAACGGTTCAATGGAAGTTACAATGGCAAAATATGTAATCTATTATTTGACATTGAAAAAACACCAACTTCAACTCTCCAAGGGAGATATAGGGGATTGAAAATCTTAAATGGCACGTGGGGTCGAGTGAGGGCTCGTTTGAAAGAGCTTTTCGAGACGAGAAGAACGCGAGGTCGTTGAGAGTTAGGTACGATTTTTTTTCGCAGAGTTATGCTCATTTGTAATATTGGTGTTTTTTGGCACTAGCGAGGCCCACGGCGAGGACGTGAGGAAGAGGCTTCGCGCATGTTCCTGAGTGAACAGAAATGCATGTAGAAAAGCGCGCGTGTGTGAGAAACATGCGCGAAGCCTTATCTTGCTCACGTCCTCGTCGTGAGCCGCGCTAGTGCCAAAAAACACCAATATTCAAATGAGCGTAACTCTGCAAAAAAAAATCGTAGAGATCTCGCGTTCTTTTCGTCTCGAAAAGCCCTTTCAAACGAGCCCTCACTCGACCTCACATGCCATCTAATATTTCCCCCTCCCCCTCCGTTCCCCTCGGAGGGTTGTAGTGGATGTTTTTAAAGTTAAATGATAGATTGCATTTTGCCATTGTGACTCTATAAATTTTAATCCAATATCTCGGACGGTTGAGAAAGTTAACTCTGAAAGTTATTTAAATGGCCCCGAACTTTTGGCGGTCACTGTATAGGGTTTGTAAAAAGAGCTCGATATATTTAGAAATTAATAAACTATTCTAGAGCACTGATATTGCACATGCTGCGTATAATTCATTGTGGTATGACGGAAAAGTTGATTTTCAGAAGAACTTTATAAACACTTTATTGCGTGCCCAACAACCTATAACTGTAAACGTACCCTGCATGCTACCGACTGTTTCGTTAAATTATTATGCCTCAGTGAGTCATTGATTTTATTATAGTATTTTTATTAACTGTATCATTACTTTTGTATTATTTGACAGACACACATGCCTGAGATAATGTTATGTTTTTTTATTACACACAAATTTCTCTCTACTTTTTTACCCAAATATATACCTACATTAATAATTAATGATTTAATTGTCCATGTTAAAAGAAAATTATTGCAATTTTTAGTACGTCTCAACTGCGTTCTCTTATCTGGCTACTTTTCGAATTATCCTTGAAGAAAACAATGAGAATTAATTGATTAGTGCGGATATATTATGGTGAGAATACATTATTTGTCTTGTATACGTATTTTTGTGTATAACAATTGGGTGTTTATATTATATAAAAAACGTATTTCTAAATAAAAGTTAAAGTAAAATCGCCCTTATTGACTTCGTCTTTAAATCGATATTATAAATTGATGTGATCATCTTCGCACAAAAAATTGCAATAAGACTGTCGTCTTGTTTGAAAGTTAAAACTTTAGAGCTTCTAATTAGTACAAAATATAATTTATTTTGAATTTAATTAGATTGTAAGATACTGTCTATTAAATCTAAAAATAATATTAATTTTTCTCTGAAAATCGACTCATCGTCTTTTACAATTAGTAATAGTAACCATATAGTTTAAATTACTATGAATCACAGTTTAGAATCAGAAAGTTATAGCGATTTAAAATAAATTGCATTGAAATATCATACACATATACATGGTTTGTCCGAAAAATAATGAGATTAATTCTGGAAAAATCGTTTTATTGAAAATACATTTAATATTTTTTAAAGTAAGATCCTTGAACGTCAATGTAGCAGTTCCAGCGTTGCTGACACTCTTCGTAGCAGCGCAGGAAGTCTTGACCGGACATATACCTTCCAGAACACTCGTCGCGACTGCTTTGACCTTTTTAATCATTTAAAAAATGTCCGAAACTGTTTTATTGTGATTATTAAAAAGGTCCAAGCAACCACGACGAGTGTTCTGTATGGCATGTCTGGTCAAGATTTCCTGCGCTGTTATGAAGAGTGGCAGTAACGCTGGAACCGCTGTATTGATGATCAAGAATCCTACTTTGAAAAATACCTGTTAAGTGTATTTTCATTCAATAAAATGATTTTTCAGAATTCATTATTTTTCATTAGTTTATTTATTAGTTTCATTATTTTTGGGACAGACCATGTATGTATTTTTTTCGCAAAGTCAATTACTATTCCATCTTCTTGTGTTAAAAAATAGAATATTAAAATTTTTTATTTTATAACATCTTACAATTAGATTTAAATGTTTATAATAATATATAATAAAATAAAAATATTAAGTAAATAAATAAAAATTCAAATGACAAATAATAAATATGTAATAAGTTACCCACATCAACAAATGATTGCTTTGTTGTCAAATAAAAATCTCAGAATTAATATATATATATAAAAACTCGCCTGCACTATTTTTTGAAGTGATTTGGGATTCAAAAAGAAGGAAAAAAACTATATACAATAAACATATATCCGGCAATAAGTAGTTTCCGAGTGATAGCCACGCTTATGTTAAAAATTTATAATAAATTATGATTATTATGATTATGACTATGAAAAATAAATTACAATTTTTTTAACAGAAAAGTGATTATAACTTAAAAAAACTGTAATATATTTTTTACAATCACTAATTATAATAATCATAATTTATTACGATTTATTACGATTATTATTATGATTTTTTATACATAAGACTGGTTATATAACTCGGAAACAACTCATTTCCGGATGTTATCATTTTCTATGCTTATAAGTATAGCTTTTTCCTTTTTTTGGGGGGGGGGGCTCGAATCACCCCAAGAAGTAGTGCGGGCGAGCTTTCGTTTCCGGACAGCCTGTATATATAAAAATGTATGTACTTATATATATCTACGTGTGCGTATGTGTATAAATCTGTAATATATATATATATATATATAATTAGATATTTATATATAAAGTATATAAAATTATAAAAAATATAAATGTGTTTTTTGTTAAAGTAAAAAATGTTTAATTTAAATCCGATTATGAAATAAACGTGTAATTTGAATTAATAACAAATTTAAAAAGTTATAAAAACAATTTATATAGGGGGAGTTCCTCTAGTACAGGATGCTTAAGATTTTTCTTAAATAAATAAAAAATAATAATATTTCATTTTTTTTATCCTGCGTTATTTATAAGTTAACAATATTAGAAATCAAAATAAAGCAACAAAATAATCAATATTATTATTATTGTAGTTAACTTAAATTAACATTAAACTTTAGTATACGATTTTGAGAAATCATTAAGTGGCACCTAGTACCGGACACAGTAAGACTTACTAACGTACTCAGAGAACAGTTTCAA